TTTCGGAAATATCCATAAACTGGGCAAGTCTGCAACAAGCACATTCTAGCCTTGTCTTGTTATCTTTCTTTTCCTCCAGACCTTATCACCGCTAAGGAATTTAATCGCAGAAATGACAAGTAGTCGAAAGTATGAATCAGACTGGCACTGAATAAGAAGCCGTAGGAAAAACACCTACCTACACAACCCTGACAAATACAAATATAACAAGTCCCCCAGAGTCTCAGTGCAGAAATGGGCTGGATAAGTTTGCTTGCAGTGAAATCTCCACCTTTGCAACCTTTCCAGGTTGCAGCATCCTGGAGGCTTCATATCACCCAGCGTCCAAAGGCTCCACTTTTTTTTAATAAAGAATTTAGACACGAGCTCATTCCAGGCTCTTGAATTTTCAGATAATTAAGATTATTCACTAGTGAATATGAAAACAAGCCCTAGTGCAAAACTCCAGCCTAGCAAATACAGGAGTTGAGCAGTGCACCTGTGCCCATCCCTGCACAAACACCGCAGCAGGGGAAAGGCTAGACACGTGCCCAAGCACACACACAGACATCTGCCCTTTTGCTTGCTGTTGACAAGAAATTTGGCCCTCCCTGCCAACTTTTTTTTTTTTTTTTGAAAGGCTCTCATAAGGATCCAACTCCTGCAGCAAGGCACCAAAGAACATCAATATTATGAGCCTCACTGTACCCCTCCAGGTGAAGCTAAGAGGGTGCCAATGAAGAGAGCCTGGGGGATGCTGCCCGGCACTGTCCTTGGAGCCAGCATCTGTCAAGAGAGGTGCACTACAAAGGAAAGCCCCTGCTAGCAGGACTGGCAATCTACCCACAAAAAATACCTTCTTTATACTATTAGCTGCTCACACTTCCCTGAATTCTTTCTGTCGAACCATAGCGGAGAGCCCTAATAAGGGAAAACCCTTCCCTCTGAGCCTTAACAGAGCGAGTATAGAGATATTTGCCTGTGCTCATTAAAAATGAGGAATGTTTAATCTAATTGCCACTGCCGTTCAGGCTGCTTCAACAACACAACTTATTACACTATACTTCAGATATGTGCTTTGAGGAGATTTAATTCTTATCTCTAGATGTGCTGATAGCACAAAGAAGCCTGGCTGATTTACTGAACAGCACTGTGCCTTTGATAATAGTATTTGCCTTAGCTTCTTCTGTGATTAGAAAATTTGCACAGGCACAAAGCCTAGGCCATTAAATTGAAGGACTTCACTTCTGAATTTGCTTACTGTATGAAGTGCCAATCTTTGTACTGTCTTCCAGCACCTGAAAGGAGGCTCTTACTCACAACTAAATAAAGTTTTCCATTCTCTTCTCCTGGCTTACCAGCCTCTCCCCCATCTTCTAACAAGCTTGATACTCTCTGCGGGCCTTTGTGCTTCAGGATAGTAGTTTTGTGGAAAGCCCTTAACTCAGTCTTACAGATAATTCTCATACTTCTGTGAAGCAGAAAAAAAAGAACCCAAGAAAACATATAAACAGCTCTGAAGGGGTGGAAACCGCTCCAACAAAGAGATGAAGCCCATGGAGAAGGGGTCTGGGTCTCCGTTCATGAAGGTTTTGCACACGCTTTATGCCCAATGAGAGCAATCCTCAGCAGATCTAGACTGGCTCTAGAGCACACTTCATTCCTGGTCATTACAATTCCGGCTGACGCTCTCCTTCTGTTCACTTGCCAAAACATTCAGAAGTTACTTGTCCTGAATTACCTCCTTCCAGAAGCATCAATACCCAGCCACCTTCTCATCCTTACAGGGAAACTCCCAGCCATTAAACAGACAACCCTACATATAGCTTAAAAAGGCACTTCTTCTGAGACAGCTATGCTCCCCAGCACCCTGAAAACACAGCCTGCGGGTCTGGTCCATGGCTTTTTATTTGCCCATCAGTCAACTAGTGACACAGCTACCCTGACAAATGCGAACAAGTACATCTCTTACGGGAAGGGAAGTTGGCGTGCATTAAACAGCTCATTTGCACCACGTAGCCACGGATGGCAGGACGTGGAGACACAGCAATTTTGTCTGGTTTAGCTAAGTATTTTGATGGAAGTGAAGAAACTGAAGAATTACTCTAAACATGGTTTGAATCAGTGTGAGGAAGACACAAGTACTGCAGCAACCCTTCAGGTGCCCATGATAGAAGGAAAAAGATCTGCTCGGTTACTGTGCCCGAACTGGTGTCCTCCTCCACGGAGTAAACCCATCTGAGTGGTGCCTCTGAACTCACTGGACAAGATTCACAGCTCGCAGAAAGCAGTGCTGCCAATTTCAGCTGAGTCATGTGAATTCATCCCAACCAGCTCCTGCCCACCCCAGGAATCTGGACATTCCAGTCTTTTAATAGACGACTGGACTGGCCTGACTTCTGTTGGGTCTTTCTGCAGTGCTTCAGAGGCAGGGAAAGTGTTAATCGTGCAAGCATTCAACATCAGTGCTGTGCCTGACCTCCACAGAAATCCAAATCGTGGTACACATCTCCCTGTCAAATTCCTTATTTCCCCTCTGACCTTCCTTTAGCCAATGTAGAGCAAATCACTCCAGAAGCATGAGGGCTGTCTAGCTGCAAAGGCAGCATCCCAGATATATCTATCCATCATTTTACAATGACAAGACTAAAAATAGTTTAATTCTTCACTCAGGCTATGTCTGAAATTATTAATCCTAGAATATTGCTATTGAAGTTTATCAGACATTTTTTGGTATGCATTACATATTCTGCACAGATGTTACTTTGTTAAGAGCTCATTCTTTTTGGCAGATTATTCAGTATTTTGGATTAAAAAAGAACAAACAAAACATAAAGCCACTTGAGACAGGTAAAAGTCTTCCCTGATTTTCTAACTCTGATTACTCTGGCCTCCACAATAGGAGATTTCTTCCATTCCAGAAATGATTGGAATACAATGTTCAGTAAAGGTCATACATGGAACTGCTTAGGCAGGCACTTGTTTTCCTTCAAAGTCTTAAATCCTCTTTTTCACCTCAATTTCATTACCCTTCCACAGGCATCTCATTTCTCCATGTTTTTGCATGTGGTTTGGGCATTTCACTATTGCCATTGCATCAGCCTTAAGTCTCGCATTAGTTAGCATCCAGCATACTTGAGGTGTACACAGAGCAGCCACACATTTAATTCCCGATTATTTCTTAGCAAGATGCTCTAAATGAAATTAAGTAAAGTTGTGGTTTTCCATTGTTACAGTATATTTCTTGTTTATAGTTCTTCAAAACACATACCTTGCCAACTGTTTCTGGATCAGAAAACTCCACAAACCTTTGCCCTCTTCACATAACTGGTTTCACACAAGACAAAGAGAACCGCAACCACATTGTGGTTTTCAATAGTAAAATGTAGTTAAGCTGCTGCTTGAACAAGAGCTAAACTTCCAGGCTGAGTTTTACCAAAGACCCCGTGCTGCCTTCAAATTCGAATCTGTACTTGAAGATCATGGGCCAAAGCCTTGGCAAGTATTCATCGGCACAGTGACAGAATAACCACCAGTTACCCTGCAGAAGACTTAGTTCTGCAATTGCAAGGAAATAGCTAATCATTTTAAGACAGATAATAATTGCAATGTTCAGCTAATCCGTGGGTGACTAATGGGTTTTCCTCTTCCTTAAAGTGCACAAAGATATATTAATACAGAAAACAGTGATTTAATTCTAATAACTCCTCCATGACAGGAGTGTCCAAACAGTGATCCTCCAGTGACTCGGTCATAGCCCTACAGCTACTACATCTTTAACTCAAGAGGACCAGGTATATGTCACTCACTATAATGGGCATGTATACAGAGGAAACATTGCCCTTCTCAGCTACATTCCCATGGGGCTTCATCATGGGAACTAAGGACAGTATTTTTTCCCAAATTTCTTCAGCTCCAAAGTTCAGAGGAACCAAACAGATCTCAAGCTTTTGCCTAAACTATCCTAAGATAAAACCACAGCAGTGACACTCTGCTGGAGGAGCAGCAGATGGGTGTGGGGTTTGGTGGATAATACTGGATGGACTTGGGAACTTGCCAGATTTACCAGCAGTACATGCTGCTTCACGTCCTTGGCGCCTCTGACTTCTTTCGTGTCAGCTATCTAAAACCTGCTTTGCAAATCTGAGCCTGTGTGTGGCTGGGTTTTGTGTAATCATGGAAGATTTCATTTGCATACTTCTGTCCTTTTATTGCATTGTGTTTTTATCAATAACTGAGGAGTCACATAAACTGCAGAACTCAAGGTGTTGGCCAGTTTTTTTGTGGTGCTCATCTCTTGCAGCATCTCATCTGTGCAAACCATGGCACTGTCTGTCACTGCTAAGCTGACTGGACTGCAGGACTCCTTCTGAACAGTTGTACCAGTGCAAAGCACAAGTCATTTCACAAAAGTAAGAAACGGTACTAAAAACCATAAATGAAATTATGCAAAATGAAACATAATGCAAGAGAAAAAAGTAGTATCTAAAATGGATATACCCTGCTTTTATATAATGCTAGAAGAAAACATGGGAAATAAATACAGCACAGCCTACAATTTTGCTGTACTGAGTCCTAACGTTTTAAAACTTTCTGTAAAAAGAAACAGTGATTGCAGTGCTGTTTGGATTACAGAAGATGCAAAGCTCTGTGCACATTCTGATGTATTTCTGCACTTTATATATATGGGAGATAAATTATGTGTGCAGCAACTAGTACAAACAAACGAGCAAGAGCCAGAGCTCTTCTGGAGGGATTTCAGGGACAGCAGGCCAGGACTTACTTGGATACTGTTTCAAAACTTTCTGGAAAGAGAAACCTCTCTGCACATCAAAAAAGCTGGAATAAAGTGAAAGCAGAGGCATCTCTTTGCATCTGTAAGTGCCAGCCATTAACACCTTGCTTCCACACTCTCAGAACTTGCTGAGACATTTGAAAGGTCACTTGTGAATAACCTGGGAAATTTTTAAAGCTCCAGGCCTTCTGGAAACAGAACATTTTCTAACAACATAGGGCAGTACCTGTTGAAGTTGATCGGGTACAGGATAATATCCTCAGGTGCTCTGCCATCCCACTGGATGATATAAGCTTGCTCGAGCATGACGACAGGCTGGTACTGCTGGTATGGTGCTCCTCTGTTCACGCCTTGCAACCGCAAGGGATGGGAATGGTATGTTGCTCTGGCAATGGATAAGGTCAGATTCTCGGGGCGTCTGGCCTGAATATAAAGCTGAGGGTGAAAGGAAAATGACAAACATATCCATTAAACCAGCCAGGCGCAGCCGTAACATGTGCATTTGATCATCGTTGCCTGTAAATGGTTTTTGCCAATGAAGAGCTCAGAACATTTGGAAAGTCACTGAAACATTTCCAGTTCAAATAAAAAGGTAAAACAGAAATAGCATCTGCAGCCATTCATGGGGACACCATGAAGTGAGATATGAATTGTACAGTGCCATAAAAATGTTCACTATTCAAAGTCTTAAGGGAGAAGGGTAATCAAGGAAATACTGCAAAGTAACTCTTTTTTATGAATTCAAATAATTGCACTTTAAAAACAGGCTTATTCCATTGAAAATACAGAAAACTCTTAAGTTATTTCAATGGGCTTTGGATTAGGTCCAGTTATGTAATGGAATCCACATCTTTACTCTCAAGTAGCAGACTAGGCTGAAATTTTGGGGGCTAAAACTTGATGGCCTGACTACACAACCTTATAGACTAAATACCACGTTCCACAGGCTTCAACAGAGAGCTCTTCTGTGCAGGGACCGACAGATCAACAGATGCCCTTCACCTGTAGTTCAAATCTACAGACCAATTACAAAACTACACTCTGGTTGTATGCTTTTTCTGCCCTGCCATTACCCAAATGAAGGCCGATGCAAGTGGCAAACATTAGTTTTAAGGCTGAATGCATGATGTTCCCCTGCTTCTCCCCATGTGAAATTCTGGTGCAGAAAGAGGATGCACAGCTAGTCATACAAATCCGTCTCAGCACGCAGGGTTGTAGCAGACGGCTTGTCACATTCCCTGAAGGGTTTCAAATGCACCGAGGACAGGTGAGGACACCTATAATCCTGCTTCCTTCACTCTCCTACAGTGTAGAATAGCGCTCTTTGCATCAAGGACTTAAAACATCCAACATAAAAATCCATGTTAACTCAGAAATGTCTAAGCTTCTACATGAACATCCATCCAGGAAAATTATTTTTAAACTCAATTTCTGCCTTTGAAGTAGATCAAAATGGAGGCAGTAGTCTCTTAACAGATTTTAATACTGCAGGCAAGGATACAAGCACAGCCAAGTCTAGCAGAGAGGGAGAGACTCCATCTATCAGGATATCCACCTTTTCATGCAGGGCTATGAGACCTTGGCCCCTCACATGTCCGTATCTGCTTCTCTTCCTCTAGTCTACACAGATTGAAAGCTCTGCAAAACCAGACTGTCTCTCACTGGCTTATACATGGGCTCATTATAGCTGGGGTTTCTAGCCAGTTCAGCTCCCAGTTCCAGTTTCATGCTCAGAAGGACTCTGGGCTTGCACCTGCTCCTAATGTTGATTTTGAGCTCCTCAGGACTTCCAAAAGACAGGCCATTTCTGCTTACCCCTCATCTCACCCCTGAATTCAGCAGCCTCATGCTGAATGCTCAAGTTAAAAATCTGGGTCTCATATCAAAGAAATAATCAAAAAGTGGTTTGTAAATATTTCTTGGATATTCAGTCCATTTCTCCTTTCACGCCATAGCACTTTAATGATGAGAACCTATCGTGAGTGGTATCTGCAGACCCCTGAAGATTAAAGTGGATCCCAGAATTGCATTAAACAGAAATTCTTCCTGACGGCTGAAACTATTGATCAAGTAATTCACTCCAAACAATCTCTGAGCAGCAGCCCATTTGTTCATTCTTGATGGATCAAGGAAGAATAAATTATTTTTACAGCCTGATAATAGACCTTTTTTATCTATGAAACCAACGAGGAAAACCTATTTTCCCTTCACATTCAAACCATGATTGGAAAGTCAGTAACATGCAAGGCAATGAACCACATTTAAATCTCATTTGTCCCCAGCCGGATGGGGAAGTGCTGAGGTCAGAGCAGGTGATCTGTAAGGTACCTTCAGACCTGAAATTCTGTCAGTGTATTAATTGTTCTCAATCAAAACAGCATTTTCTGACAAAGAACAGTTGGAGTGAACTCCGACACTGCAAAATAATAGCCTACTTGTGTCTTTCTGGATAAAAGGCAAGAGTTTCTGTACTGTCACTGCAAACTTGGACATTATGTCCTTCTAGTATGTCTCTCCAGCAAGCACAGAATGTTAAGGTGGTAGCTGCTGTGCATTTACTGGAAAATTAAATGCACCAATGATAAAATAAGCCAAGAAAGGAAGGAAATACATTCAATGAGCCTCAAAAGTTCCTAAATTACAGAGTACCAAGAGCAAAAGATTCCTATATACTTTAAAGTATTTGTGTAAAAAGAAAAAAAGAGAGTGAGTGCTATGCATGGCCTAAGCTTGTCACTAGAACGATTGTTAATGAGTTCAAGTAAGTGCTGGAAGAGTTTGCAATATGCTTCACTAAGATGATGAGGAAAGCATGTCAGAGATTTGTTGGTAACATTTTCCTCCAAGTGCCTAGGGACCAAGTCACAGGCCTGACATTAAGGATAATGGTGACAGCTGTTTCGAGAATGAAAGAGTAATACAAGAACAAGGAAAAATGTCACTTCTGTGTTGATAGAAATATTTGTAAACTGACTTTGCCTCCTGCAATGACCAATAGTGGCCACTGAGTGAATGCCTTCCAGAACTGCAAGCCACCAAGGACGTGCTTTTCAGTCCCACAGAAATACAGCAGTATATCTGGTGGATCTTGCAAAATGTTTGTCACTAAAGGAGGTCACAGTAGGTAAATGCTCTGATCAAGTAATCTAGATCCTACATGAAGAGACTCTTTTGCCCAGGTGGAGCATCATTAAGTCAACAGAACTCTGATTGGGAGCAGGGACTAGCTGAGATGTTTCCTGCAGCAACTGGGCTCAGCTCTGGAACGACAGCCCTGGTGGCTTGGTCCTTCCTGAACACGCCAAGCTGCACAGAAAGCAGCACCCCACATTTTCTCATTCATCCCTTTCTCTGGGCCTCCCCCCTCATTTGAGGGAACAAGGGACAAGCGGGGAAACAAATCCCTGTCCGTGAAACCCCTGACCTCCCTTCTGCAATGCTAACTCATGTCAGTCCTAGTACTTGGGTTTTGTTACCTTTTCAGGGCTGCAAAAGAGACCAACAGATTACTTTAGAAAAATCCCAGAAGAGTCATCCACCAAAAGGCTGCTTTTAATTCCCAATGAGGTGAATGAAGTAAAAAGAACCCTTTGAGCTCCACTGGCCCCAGGTAGGTGAAACATCAGCCACTGTCCCAGCATAGTGCTCTTGGGATGTCACAGCGTGGCCTCTTTCTTCCTCAGCCTTTACTCACTGGAACTGAACTTTTCTTCCTTGTATCTACCTTTGCAGGGGCAAAACACTTGCCAATGGGAGCAAAAAGGAGACTAACAAGAGAATTTTTTTCTAGAATGAAAAATTCATCTTCCTTAGCAACACCTCCGTAATTTTTGGTTCGCTCTATCGAAATATTTAAGAGAAGAAAGTGGGTCATAAAGATACTTTAAAATATGAGAAGTGGTGACAGCTTAATGTAGTAGGAGAAGAAGCGCTAGTTAAAATGTTATAAAATGCAAGCCTTCTACTTGCCTGGATGGTTTAATGGACATAGTTGTCATTTTAGCTGCTTAACACTTCATGCTAAAAAGATGTGTCAGATTTCCCTGTGCTTACATGGCAATTTTCCCAAGTAGATTGTGAAACTGAGAAGATAAGTTCTTTTACAATTCATGGGGGTCTGCTATTCAAGTGGATAACGAGTATGAAGATAAGCAACATGCAAAATATTGGAACAGAAAATCTTGGTTTCTGAGAAAAGGTTTGCTTGCTTTCTAGTTTTTTTAACATTGCTTTTGTCCTGCTGTGCTGTCAGCTACCAAGCTGGGGCAAAATAGCTTAAAAATGAGAAGCTCAAAAAATACCTTCTCCCCTTCTGGTTGACTGTTCAAAAAAGGTTGATTTGCGAGGGCAAAACATTTCTCTATGAAATTTCTAAGTGAAGACTTTAAAATTCTTTCGGAAATAAAAACCATGTATCTTTCTTCCTCTAAGACAAGCTAGGACATGCTAGGATGTCACTGACATCAGCAAAACTACTTTGATTTTTCACTGGTGTACATCAGAGATCAAAATTGGACCTCTTTGTCCAAATACAGACACCATTAGCTGAAAAATATCTGCAGGCTTTTCCTTTTTCCCCAGTCTGTGAGGTACTGACAATCCTAGAGCATTGCAGATGCCCTGGGATTGTACAGGTTTGCCTGTGGTTAGAAAAGCACCATTTGTTACCTACTGCATCTCTTGCTTGCTTTACATTTAGAAGCATCAGTACCAAAACCAGCTACACAGGTACTGAGTACACAATACCAGCTGAAGGCATATAACCTGGAGATGCAGGATCAGTTCAATTACAAACATTCACTGTAAGAACAGAGTTAACAGAATTGGAATAATTTCTATTTCAGCTGCCTGCAGTAAGGAGTGACTAAGTGAACTGGTGAAAAATCAACAGCATTTCTGGAAGTGTTTTATAATAGCAAGGCATCAATTTTTTGTTAATTCAAAATTGACACTAATTTAGCTATGTGGCAGTCTTTTATGACTGTCTAACACCTTTTTAAGCTTATAAAAGATAATAGCATGTACTGCCAAAACCTCTGCTTATTTTAATAAAGACTAATAGCAAAAAAGAGAAGTTTCACAGCCTCTCCTGATGAGTCTGCAAGGAAGCAGTAAATGCACAGCTTCAACTGCCCAGTGGGAGCCAAGGCACTTGTCTTACAATTTATATAAAAATCAGGAATGGTTTAGGAATCTCATTTACATTTTAACAAGTAGTGCAGGTGTAGAGGAGTCTCCAGTTCAGTGCCATTGAAAATCTCACCCACCTACATGGAGAGAACTATGGGATGAGCCTCTCCCTACATTTTTCTTCTATTACTGGCCTTTGCAACAGCTGAAAGTCAGGTTGACGGGGCACCGAGGACCTCAGTGTCCTGATGACGGAGTCCAAGTGACTCACAGAGATTGCCAGAAGATATGGCGCTGCCAACTCTTGTGATTTCCCCATGAGTCTCCCTCTATTTAGTGTTCTTCCTCAAAGCCTCACTTTATTTACATTAGAACGTGAGAGTTTTGGCTGTCGTTAAAAAGGGGTTGGTCTTGTTTGGACAACACTAACGTTACATGCTCCAGAATCAAAAGGGGAGGACAAAAAGACCTGATAGTTTTTGCTTGTGTAAATTTCATGATTTTAAGCTGGTCCCAGAACCCTTCTTTGGTGGTGAAAGGCAACATTGGAGCCAAAGCTGAGGCATTTCTTAGTGCTCCCTACTGAAGGAAGGTCTTGGACACCATGTGGGGAAAGTGGCATGACGCTTCTTGGAGACAGTGAGGAGGAAGGGCCATGAACCAACCGTAGGAAAGTGGGAATGTCAACCTGAGCTGGCAGATTAAAACACCCTCAGGAAAGTCTGTCCCCAGGATTTTGTGGAGCTAGAAATCTGCCAGAGGAATCGGTTTTGCCCAAGCACTTCCTTTCCTAGGCAAGTTACATCTAGGAGAAGAAGAGCATGAAAAGTGAATGAAAGAAACCAAGCAGAAAGGAATTAACTGAACTCTAGGCACTTTGCTTGGAAAGGATTTGCTTGCAATGTTAGTTGAAAGACTTGGATCTCATTTTTCCATGCCAAGTAGCCCATCCCTAGGCTGACTGTCTTGGGCTCAGTTCAGCAGTAACATAGGAGTCACTATTTCCTTGAACTGAAAGGACATTTTCACCTGCTTGCGCTGAGGAAGAATAAAAGTTCTTGACTACCAGAGCTACATGAGAAGGAAAAAGAAAACAGATTTTGTAATAGAGTTGCTAAGATCAAAGCAAACCATCTTTCTCCATAGTTGGATTCACTCTTTTAAGCTTTTGATTTGCAGTATGACACTCAGAATTTAACACACAAACAAATCATCGGTTAGTGAAGGTGCAGAGAATCAGGGTTAAGCTGAAATACTCCAACAATCATACCCTCCAAATTAAACCAAATCCTGCTGCACGGGACCAGTTTCTTCTATCCTGCACATACATATATTTCCCTACCCAAAACCCATAAAGTGAAGCTTTTAATATGAACTTTACTCATCCTGCTGGATGCCGATTAGTTGAAAAACGCTGGTAAGGAACAGATCCCAGAGAAGCAAATGTTTATGCTTGCCCAAACCTAGCCAAGGAAATTTTCTATGGTGGAAAAACTGCCTCACCATGTGGAGTGCCATAACCGGGAGGGTATTAATAGAAATAAAAATATAAATGCCTACTTGTTTACAATTCTGAATTTAACCGTTACGTTGCCAGAGCAGAGAGGGTCATTTCTCTAGAGACACAGAGCAAAACTAAGTGCCAAGGACAAAATCCTAATTCAATGGGAGTGTTTCATAGGAGCCCAATCCTGTTTCTGCCTAGTCAATAGCAAACCAGGAGTCATAAGTCCAGTGTGTAGACACTTAAATAGCAACTCCTGCTCTCTGCTGTGCAACTAAAGCAAATGCATATACATTTTTTTAGCTTAAGGAGACATGAATAATCTGTATTTGACTGTGCACATGTTATGTAGGCATAGAGGTCTCAAAGATAATTGCATTCCCAAAAGTTTAATGCAGAAAGTTCCTTGGAGAAAGGGGAGCAGAGTGCTGTGTCTGACTACCTGAAGTGCAAGCCCACACATTACTACACATCAGAGAAGCCACAGAGAATGTACCTTCAGAAATCTCCCAGTGTGGAAAATCCACGAGTCCAGGTTTGAAACTCATTCTGAGGTGCAACTGTAGGAAATCAGGCTCTGCTAATCCCCACGCTCACAAAACTGCGTGTTGAAAAGGGAAACCTGAGAGCCTGCTCCACTTGAGGCAATTTTAACACTGCCCAGTGTAGAGTTCAGGTAGAGTTTCATCCTGTGCAGCACCTGCTGATGTCTGGGCAATGTCTACTGACTCCCAATGTGGCAAGAGTTTGTAGCATGCTCCCAAGCACACAGAAGACTCTTAATAAATAAACAAATAAATAACACCTGCTGTATCTCATGAACTCTGATCTTAAGATCACTTCATAATCCATTCTTGCCTTTCATATCCAGCGGTGCACCCCACTGCAGTCTTTATTTGACAGTGCAGGGCTCTTCTCAAGGGTCAGAAGAACATAATGGTCCTTCCAAAAGCCACATCTTGCATGAGAGCTCCCAGTACCCACTCTCCAACCTCAAACCACATGGTGCTGTGTGCGCCCACCACACATAGTCTTAATCTTTGGCTTGTTCAACACAAGGAGAGAGGAGATCTGGCAAGATTTCCAAGTAACTGGAGTTTTAAAACAGGCCTAGATACCTCTTTGGAGAATACATTAATATCCTTCAGAGTGGAAGAGCAAGGAGAGCCATCTGTGATCTCTTACAGGTGACTGTGAAAGCTGTGGTAAGTCATATTTACAGTATGTTCTATCCCCACACAAAGGTCTTGTTGAAATTTGAGCAACATACAATGTACCACAACCTGATTTTGAGGTCACCTTTTCCCTCCGTTTACCATTCTCCTCTTTCTTTCTTCCCTTGCTGAAAGGTTACCTGGGATTTGCAGCCCTTTCTACCAAGGTGTTGACATCTCAGTTCAAGTCTCTAACTAACTCAAGTGTGCTGAAGAAAACTGCTGTGAAGGTTTGACCAACCTGACCTAAGACTGACCATCTCTCAGCTGTGATTTCTGGATCTGAAATAAGTGTGAGTTTGTGTCTCAACCACCCATTTCACCATCCTGAACACAGTGGGGTCTATCAGAGAAGTAACATCTGCCATTACTGAAACTTGATTCACCAGACTTATCCACTAGAGCCCCATGATAGGGTGGACAAATGCCTGGAAGCAAGAACTAGAAAACACCAAAATTTCCCCCAACTCAGTTTCAACTTGCAGCTTCTTGTGGGCAACGGGAAGAGAGAGGGCTCCTTACAGCCATGGGTTGCAAGCAGTGACACAACAGGAGCTTTACTGAGTCCTTGGAATTAGGCAGATAACACTGAGAGGAGTACAATTATACCCAATGTTTTATTCACCTTTTATCTTATGGAGTGTTGAGTAGGCTTCACTCCATCACCCCTCAGCAGACTACCAGAGGACACCCACCCAACATGCCCAGGGACGTTGCCTGCAGCAGCCCCGTGTTACCTGTGCAAATTTCCCGGTACACATCACCCCGTTCCAGCGTGGGACAGTGAGGCACCCGGGGTGACGCAGCAAGTAGTTGTCCGCTCTGCCTATGAAAGTGTCCGGATACCCTGTCACCGAGCCGTCCAGATCATGGAAGACAGACATTTTGTCACCGTCATTATCATTGTTTCCAAACCACTGGCCCGATCTGCCAAAAAACACTTTCAGTCCAACCTAGCAGGAGAAAATAAGAGGAAAAATTACTGGTTAGCTCTAAGTAAGGAGCTTGGGTTTGCAGTGTTTTAACAGCCAAAACAGTGATACAGCTAGAACTAGAAAGCTCCATTGTCTGAGTAAAGTTTTGTTTTGCCTCGTCTATTTAGAAAAATTTCCATCCGTATTGGTTTTCGCCCTCATTTCTTAATCCCAGGAGATATTTTCACAAAAATTAGACTTTTGGTTCTTTGAAATGCACCCACACAACCATGTATTCCTTGAAATCACACAGCAATAAATTGTGTGGTGGCAAAGGAAAGAGGATGATTCAACGGGTAGAGAAGTACTAGAAGTGTATGAAATTTACTGAGGAATATCACAGCTGATCAAAGAAATAAAAATTACTAGATATTTGGTGAACTCTCTCACATATTTTCAATGGCTGTTCTAAGTGGTTCTGTGAGTGCCATTTTTTTCTAATTGTTCCTCCTAAAACCTTTATAAAACTCATACAAGTGGCAGCAATTCTCAGAATTGGCTCTTGTGCACATTCTAATATAACCCCTGGAGAATTTTGTTTAGGAAAGAGAAATAACAGGAAGCAGCATTATCCTCACTATCCATAGCTCTCTTTTCAAGATTTTTCAGTAGCTGAGTAAATGATTCTGTCCTGATATGAAAATCCAGCAAAACAAGGAAACTGCAGATGTTCAGGGAAAAAACATGGAATATTTTAATGTCTGCAGAGAAAATTATTAGATTGTGTGATGATTAAGTTCTGAAGTAATCAAGAAAATACTTACTCCAGGTCAAGCACTCTAAATGAATCTGCAGCAATGTGTATAAAAGCAGACGGCATAAATAGCAACTAGATCACACTGGCCCAAAGGACTGTAATTTGTTCCATTTAGCCCAACTAATTTTAATTGGACTGTGCACATGTGTAAGAATTAGGGTCAGCAGGATTAGGCTGCAAGTTTACTAAGGGCTTTAAAGGCTTTATTTTAACAATAATAAACAGAACAGCTTAGGAGAATAGGAGGGTCATTGTGATTCTGAATTAGATGGAAAGTCCCATTGGCTTAAAAAGAATGACCACTGCAGCAAGAACTCCTTGCAGAATGAAAGTCTTTATTCCTTTAAATTTAAATTAGAGCCTAGAACCACTTTTCTGTCACCATCTTGTCTGAGTCTCATAAACAAACACCTGAAGCAGTCTCATTTAAAGGAGGCTCAAACACATGGAAATTTAACGTGCATTTTTGAGTTTTTTTAAAACCTTTTCTTACTGCACCGCAGAAAATTTTTGCCCAAAGGGCTACTTGGAAAAGTAGGAGGATCCCAAAAGTTGGGTTTTTTCTTTCATTTTGATTTATAAAAGAGGAGATATTAAAAAAATGTAAACACTGTGCTGCAGCTCAAAGCTCCATTATAAATACTTTGTGACAGTGCACTTCTGGAGTTGAATATGAAAACGGGCACTTCACTGGGGAGGAGAACAAAGTCAGCTGTACTTCAAAACAAACTAAGGCACAGCCAGTACAGCTTACATTTGATTAACTCTCTCAGTGTTTCCATCTAGCAGCAGACAGTTTTGGTGCTAATGCTAATCTGATCTCTAACATACTCCTCTAAAAAGTCTGAAAGTCAGAAATGAAATGGAAATGTTAATGAGCAGTGTCACTTCTTTTATAAGTCTCAAGGTTACCTTACTTTTGTAGACTACGGGATAGGGGTGCACTGAGTTTGCAGTTACAACTATGGCAACATATATTTTTTTCTAAGTGAACACAGATGAACAAAGACTCAGCTCGTCAGGTATGTCCACGTGGAGCTAGGAATGAGCTGGAAGAAGGTGCAGAGACAGGTCGTGTCTAGCTACCACACTACTATTCAGACACCTAATTTTCACTAGGTGTGGACTACCTGGGAGTGATATGGTACAAAGGGTACTTGAATTACCTGTCTGAAGCCTGACAGGGAGACCTGACAGATGATGGTTATGTGAGTACGTAATCTCTTAGGAATATGCTAACTTGACTTGTCCAAAGGCAGCACACCTAACACAGCTACAGACAAGTCCTGAAGACTGCAGTGGAAAACTCTTTCTATATTAAAAATTAATAACGTACTGGAAACCATCATAATAACTTGCAACTTTTTCTAAAACTCAAGTATTGGCACAAGCTGCCAAAAAAACCCATATCGCTGTATCACTGTTAGCATTTTAAGGAAACCACTTTTAACCAGTGTGTATTTTTCTCTATTTTACCACCCAAGGACTCTGCCCTCCTTAGCATGGCTTTTACTCTTGCTGGAGTGATGCAAGCCCTCACCCTGCAAGTTCCCTTTGGTCAGGAGTCTCTTTAGGGTTTGGGGGTTTTTTTGCTGTCCTCTTTTTCCTGGGATAACAGACTGGGTCTTTAACTCAGTGTCTGCTTTTCTTTTTCCCATCATGAACTGTCTGCAAATTTCTGCTTTGATGCAGAAACCCAGCGCTAAGACAACACAGGCTAAACATAGTAAAGGCAACATTACGAAGCGCCGATCTCTCAGCTAGGCAGGACTGCAATCCCACGGGAGTCGCTAGACCGCAGCCAGGAGCCAGTTCTGGCCCCTCTGAGCTCTTCTGAGAACCACAAACCCACCCAACGCAGACCGCTGGGATTTCTTTGGCACAAGTCATTTCAGAGATGCCGTACTGTTGGCACAGCCAGGAGTAGAACAGGCTTGAATCCACGCTAAGTTCCTGGCTCCAGGGAAAAAATAACCAGAGGGACTATTAGCAATGGCTATGAATTGGGACAGTTTTTGAGTCTTCTGCACCTGCCGGAGGTGGCCTTGTTCATGGGAGCCCAAAAGGTCACGTACAACCTCTTGTTCCTCACCTGACTCCACAGGAGCTGTGCAGCAAAAGGACAGAGGGATGAATGGGTTACTATTTTATGACTAAAAAGAGATATATTGGGTCTTCTTAAGAAATGATGCACAAGTGTCCTGTTCGGGCATGGCTCTGTTCTGGGCTGGGGCCATCTCCTTTGAGCTCTCCAAGTCCTACTGACTGGCAGTAACCAGATCTACAGGAGATCATAACCATCAGTCATGCCCTCAGCTGGGCTAAGACCAACTACTACTTTCACTGCTTTGAAATAACTTTTTAAAAGCACTGTTTTTAAAACAAACAAGCCTAGCAATAATGTTGCCATTGATAAATGCAGAGATATCTTAATATGTGAGATTTAGGTTTGTCAATGGAAAGGCAACAAGAATACTTTTTGTGGAGCGTAATGTTTAGGTCTTCTGTTCTACTTGACTGTTATTTTTATGCTGGAATTAAACAAGACCTGACTGGCTTTATTATATTGTTTTCTAACCGATCTGCTGATTAGTCTGATTAATTATATAATTATTCCTTCAGCATGACTAATAGTTTTGTCATCACTATACAACTTGCAGTAATGTTTAATTTATTCTTGAAAAACAACTGTAAAATGATTGTCCTTTAGGGAATTATTACTTAGCTACCCTTTAAAAAGTCATAAAACGAAGCCTGGAGATGGAAAATTAATTAAAACACTCTACAGGCTCTATCTTAACTAGCCAAAAACATATTGTCCCATATAGCAATTAGCAACAAAACAATAAACTAACCGTGGTCCTTCAAGTCTGAAATAAGATTTAGCGCATCTGGGTTCAATCCAGATAAAACAGCATCAAAGTGAAAAGTGCTGGGATGCAGGTGGTTACAAACATAAATGGTTTTTAAGTTGGCAAAATACCAACTTCAGAAATGCATATTTCTTGGAAATGTACATACAATAAATAATTATTGGGATAATGTCATTGGTTTTTTTTGTAATAGGCTGACACTGTACTGTTTTGATTTGCTTTGAATTTTGCTTTGATTTGCTTTGCTATTTTGATTTTGCAGAATTATTTAGTAAGTCTTCTGACCATTTTTACCTTGAAAACCTCAGATCTTAAAGGTGTTGCAGTACTAAACTGCCTCCCAGACAAAAAAATGCTGGGATATTTAATAGGCTCATTGGCCTCAAATGATGCAGCTGTAGTAAAGAGCTGCATTTTCAGCCATTCAAGATGTAATCATCCCCTTTGCTAATGTGCACAGATATCATCTGTCTGAAACCATTCTGTTGGACAGAGTCCTACAGCCATTACTAGAGGAAAATTTCCATTCTCTTCCATTCCACCGATCGAACTTTTTCATCACACATTTTCCTCTAAGCTCCCCTCCCCGGTTCCAGGTTGATTTTCTCATTCATGTTCCCCACGGCCATCTTACAACCATTTCCCCAAGGGAGGACATAAAGAAGATACGACAAATTAGCCCTTATTCTTGTTCCAAAGCTCTCTAAAGCATCTAAGGTAACTAAGATCTCTTTACTGAAATACAGAGGAACTGTGTTTTCTTTAAAGGAGCAGTCAAGTGACTGCAATCGACATCATCGTTTCATGAAATACCCTCCTGTTGTTGGTCTAAAGTGTACCAGAGAGGGGACGGACAAACTAGCTGCTTGCCAGAAGGAGTGATATTGGTCAATCCCAAAGCAATGGAAATTTTCCTCATAAAGTCAAACCTCAAGCCAAAGTTACTACAGTTCATGGACATCTTAACAAGCATGGACCTTGTTTGAAAAAAGCTAAGGAGAGGTTATGATCCCTGGGAGCAAGCCAGGTGGCATCTATCATTTCCCAAGCCAAGCGTGCAGGGCCACGATCCCTGTAGGAATCCAGGACAAGGACTGGAATTGCTCAGCATCCTACGGCTCCTGCCAAGGCAGAGATACAGAGCCCCATTCTGCTGTCACAGCTCAAGGGAAGTCCCTGTTGTGCTCAACAGGAATTTCACTGCTGACCCCAGAAACTGGGTCATGGCTTTGCTATTTCTGTATAAGAATTGTATTGCAGCTTACTGTTTCCTGACATCTCATTTGTGTCCCTCTCAGCCTCTGAGGCCAGGTCCTCAGCAGGTCCTCAGCGTATATAAGCTGGTAATGCTGCACCAGCTAAGAGTGGTGTTCTTCCTCTAATGCAGCTGGTTTTATGTACGTCTGCCCAGGCATAAGATACCATCACATTTTACTGGCTTATAAATAACCTTCATTAAAATAAAAAAAAAAAGTGTTGCAAAATGAATTGATGGTATGTACCAATGTAACATGCACCACTGCTTGGAAATTCCTGCTCTAGGATATATCCCTCACTACTTCTAAAAACTTCAAAAACTTGCACATCTAACAGCACACATTTCTGCTTTTCTTACTTACACTTTTCTCCATCAGGATCTGTGACACATTATTCTGGGGGCTTATCTGCCATGAGTTTTTCATGAAGAACCCGATGGCACTTGAGTATCTGTCAACAGTTGGGGTGAACTTCTTGAAAGTGCATTTTGCCATCCTGACAGGCCCATCATAAATCTGGAATCCACGAATAGGGAACGTCCTGTGAGATTTAAAACCAAATACGGTCCTGTGTTAAAAGCTTGGACAAACTCTGAGTCTTCTCCTGAAGGCACAGAAAGATATTAAGAAGTAGCTAAACCACCTTTCCTTTCCCCAAACTGGGATCTGGACACTCATCACACAGTTAATGAAAGGTGAAACTCTGCTGAACATCCTCTACAGGATAAGGCTCAAGAGCCAAAAAAAATTACTCATAAGCTTGCCTAAGTCTTGTAAGCTGGGGTAAAGCAGTTCAAAACCCTTGTCCGCCTCCTTGAACCCAGGAGTTCACCACCACAAGAAAGACCCAAAGGGCTGTGTGGCAGCATTGCCACCTGGTTCCCTGTTCCAGGGCAGATGGGTTTCTCAGGAAAACATCAGCATGACTGAAAAAACAGTATCAGTCAGACTCCCTGGGGGCAAGTGTCTCCTTGGAAGCAAGTACCAAGTGGTGCAGCACAGTTTCTCCTCTCTGTACAAGCCATTTCACATGAGATCCCTAGGACCTAGTCCACAGCATTTCACAGAGAAAAGCGATTTCTGCAGTATTGGTCTGTGGACATGTTGTCAAGACATCAGTGTTGAAGGAGACACCACTGGAGTCACAGGTAAGGACCTGCCCCTTCCATGGTTTGTTTTGAGAAGGTACCGAGTTTTGCTTGGCCCCAGCTGTGTTTGATTAAAGGGTGGCCTGCATCAGCTTCACAGACAGTAATGAAGCTGGCTAGTAGTGGCATGGAAGGGTAGGTCAATGCCTACTGAGTCCAGAAAGAGTTGTTCAGACATGAAAGCCAAAGTGGACAGCACATGGGCACACAGGGTCTCTCCAGCCTGGGGGGCACTGAGGCCCAGATTCCCCCCCAGCCCTGTTGTTTTTTCTTACTGGTTGGCTCCAGAGATCCAGAAACACTTTGCCAATTGGAAACACCAGGCACAAACAGTGTTTCCTGACCAAATAATTCTTCTTCAATTTCCAGAGCTGTTTTCTCAGTAGTTGGGTCTGGTACAACCCCTACATCCCATTTTGCACTATGGCATAATGAAAGGACATATATCAGATGTTTTGGCATACTCCTTTCCAAAAGTACATTGCTTAACAATATCACAGATGATTAGAGCTTGTTTGAACTGCAAAGGAGTTTTTTGCAACTGCAATTAAAATAACAACACCGATAATAACTAAGGATAGCTCTGATTATTCTTGCTGTCCTACACAGAACTCATTCCTGTGTCACTTATGGCTGAGACATGTATAGTCAGGGCTGTGTGTGTGGCATGTCTGCTGAGTACTGCTGATTACTTTATTTTATATTCCTCATAGAGGATTTAATAATTGGTGAGCATCCCCCAAAACATATATTAGGGTAGAATTTAGGCTTGGGGAAGCACATTTTGCTATGGGGATATGGGTAGGCACCACGGTTGCTAGACGGGAGGCTGTGCTGCTATCAAAATAGAAAATAACATACAGCTATTGAAAGAGAAATAAGATGCAATAATGAAAAATGGTTTCTCTTTTGTCAAACCAACCATGTTTGCCCAGCTACGCTGGCAGGAGGGACGGTGGCACGGTGTATGGGAGCTGCGCCATCAGCTCGCCACTGTGCTACTGAAGCACTATGCAAAAGCCGTTTGGTATCTTTCAGATTCTCTAATGCATTCTCTAGTGACTAATAAATTAAGCAGAAAATTAAATCAAACACATTCAGTCCAGAACGCTCTCAAGCTATTGGCCTGTGTTTATTTGGATGCTTATTATTTCTGGCCTGTACAATAATTTAAACACCCAGTATAAATTACTCGTTGGTAGTCACATTCATTCCTGAGGCTTTTCTTCTAGCTTACGCTAATGCCAAGAAATGGCAGGATAACTCACTTGTTTCTGGGCAGCGTTCTGTATTCTCCATTTGCCCCTTTTCCCCAGTAGCTGTTTTGGCCTCCCTGGGAGCCAAAGTTGCTGCTTTCTCCAACAAAAATGGAGCATGTAACCTCCAGGCTGGAGCCTTCATCTGTCGGGAAAGTCCCATCACTACAAGCGAAGAAACACCAGGTAACTATGCAGCACAGCACAACTTATTAATTAACACTTTTAATTACACTACAGACACAGTAGAATTTCTTTCTTCATTTGGAAAAAAGTACACGCACCAGTAAAACAGCCTGCTTTAAAATCTCTTTAGAAAACAGCAAGTTAGTGCCTAGGTAGCTTAGTGCTCGGGCATCAGTGATACAGGTTACTTAGTCTGGGTAAAACCAGCTCTACCTTATATATATATATATATTGCTCTCTATATTGACTTGCTTTACAAATTTTTAGCTACATCCCTGAAGCAGGAGCCAAATATCACTGATTCTTATTGCCTGCAGTGTGCTTTAGATATGGCTTATTCTTGCAGGTCTTTTGCAAGAGCGGTGGAGACGGAAGCAGCAGGAGCATGGTAGACAACAGCAGAGGAGGCAGGAGACCTGCTGTGCCACCCTGTTGGACCATCCCAGCCACTCCGCCCTAGCAACACCTGAGCTATGGGCAATGCTGCTCCACCAGGCTAGAGCAGAAGAGAAGTCTCCCCAAATGCAGAGCCAGATGTTTAGTCTACTGGTTCAGGACCTACTGCCCAAAAGGAAATATTTGGCAATTAGGATGTATTCCCCAGATATGCTGAGGCAAAGAGAATGAAAGGCTAAATTGCTCCTTGTGTTAACGGCTGCGCAGGGAAGACCTGATGTGGTCTGGGAGGGAAATGTGAGGTTTTCTTGTGTCTTACAGTAATTACTGGGGGAGTGCCTCATCTTCCATTCATGAGCCTGTTACATCAGGGGAAAAAATGGGAAGAAGGTCCATTTTAAGAAATTACCTTGCCAGAGTGAGTCCAATTCCATTGTCTGAAAACCTGGGACAGAAGAAACACAACGGTGTAAATGATGAGGAGTGTCTGCAGTGAATTTGACCTACAGATCTATTTATGTCTGCCGTGAGGGGAATGATACAACACGTAATTACAGTAACCTACCCTGAGTTGCGGAAAATAATGTCGCCACCCCTGGCCCAGGCCCCATGGTCATTATTTTTAAAAGCAATAAGACCATCAATCACAGCAGGAACTCGTGGCTTTTCAGGATCAGCATCTTGATGTGGGCGAAACCTGAAGCAAGAAGCTTAGTTAGTGCGGCACAGGAGACATAGGAACCAAACTCAGACAGAGGAGGTCGTGCCTGGAAGACCTCATTTGGCTTCCAAATATCTGCATGATGGGCCTAAAGAGGTGATATGCCCTGGATCAGAGTCAGGCTATTAGCTTGATTTCATTTCTGTGCTTTGGTACAAAGCAGAAAACAAGAAACATTCATAAGGGCGAAATTCTGGCCCCGGTGAAATCAACAGAAGATTCCTCCCTAGATTTCAGTGGGCCCACAGCTACTCCTTAATTTGATTCAGTGTGATTTAGAGGCATAGAAAACATTTTTCCCAAGTCACTTGGGTCCTTTTGTAGTTGTCGTTACAAGGCCCATTGAGAATCCCTGGGCTGATGCTAGAAAATCAATTAGGCACTTTTAAGAATCTCATTCAGCAAAGATAAGAGAGTAATTGGAGCTGCTTTCCTTGCATGTACAGACCAGACCTCCATACGCTTCTGCCTCTGCTGAAAGAGAAGCTGCCGTATGAAAAAATGATTCGCCCTGGGAACCGGGCGCTTCTCAGTTACTTGCAGGCTATTTCTTGCCACACTGGCAGTTAATGGTAGATTTGTGCTGTGTTTGGAAAAAAATCACCTTTGCATTTTCTGAGTCTACCCTCACCTCCTACTTCTTCCAAGCTGATGTACTAAGGGATGTGCCGCCTCCTCAGTGCCCAAGGGGATGACCCTGGCAGGGAAGTCTCACAAAGGGACACAAAGTCACCCTTTCCCTTCAGCCATATGGGAGCATCATATGTGGCATTGACAGGGTATTACGGAGGAGGAAAAAATCCAAAGCTTGACCAGGAGCAGTGGCTGATTTCTGCCACAGCCTACTCCCATCAACCCACAGGGCTGCAGTGAGTGAGAAAATGGCCTTAATTTACCTGCTTCCATGCTGCAAAAGGAACCTCAGAGATTTTAAAGCAGCTGACAAAAAGCTTTGAGGCTACTTTACTTTCCTCATTAATCCTAGACCAGTCTCAGCAGTCTCTTACGTCATCTTTCAGATGTAAGTTCTTCTAAGTAATTAATAAGAAATGTTGGAGTTTACAAACCCCGCTAATGGACTAATGGGATCTGGATCCCCTTTTATGTGCTTCACTGCTTAGTCCTCATAACCCCAAGCACACATGTATTATTTTTGGTCAGCAATAACACAAACAATTCAGTGCATAGCAATGAAGTATTTGCCTCTGCACATCAGAGATAGCTTGTGTGTTTTTTTCACATGCTCCAGCCATAATGAGGCATTAATGATCCGCTAAATACAATGCAGAAGCCAAGAAGCAACACAACTATCCAAAATACTTAGCCATACAGCATGTGCTTACCTGGCATTATCGACAGTGAGATACTCTCTGGGATCTTCAGCGCTGGCTCTCGTTGTCTTTACTCCTTTTCCAATAAACAAACCAGCCTGAAAATGCACGCAACTCCAATTATTTTAACAGACCACCCAACACAGACCAGAGATCCCAGATTTTTATCAATGAACGTGGGCAGCCAGTGCGTGCAGGCTCAGCGAGTGCCTGCAGCCTGGGCTTTCTCTTCCCTGTCGGTGTCACTTGGCACCGCTCAGCATGACCTTAGCACAGGATGTAGCGCGCTGAAGTCAGGACAGAGCCTGCCCTGCCATATGTTATGCATCAGCATCTTGGGCTGTCTTCTGACCCAAAGCAAGGCACTGAACTCCCACTCTCCCTCCCTCGCAGAAAGCAATAAGGGACTCTGCCAAGCTCTTGATAACTTTTTGGAAAAAGAGTGTTGCTAAGAACTAAGGCTTTAAATAAAGTGTGACGAGTCCCCCGACAGTCAAAAGAGAACATGAGCTGCTGTAGCCAACTTAAAGGCTTTGGGTGAAAGCAGCAGCTGTCATGGACCAAGATGTAAAATATACAAGGCACAGAGAATAGCACTGATTTCAATCTAGAATCCTGAGAAATAAGTTAAAAATGTTTTTTTATAGCTTACAGGTTATGTTTTCATGTCAATAGTATATTTGGGGGTGGGGTGTTTTTCTTGGAATTACCCTTGAATTTTTGGTCTCATTTTTCAAAGGTGATGAGCAGACCATGGCATAAACGACTTTTGCTCATCCCCCTATATCCTTGCACCACTGTGGCCAACAGCAGTGCTCAGTGTCCTGCCTGTCTTTCCTTAAATCTCACTTAGTAGTAGCTGTACCTATGGCCTGCGCATATCCCGTCTAACACAGGCACCCAATTGAAGTGCCTGAAATGGGACCCCCCTTCTGCTCAGCTCCCTCTTTAATCATTAGAAAGAGCACCACCCCCAAAAGTTGATTGTGTCTTGATACAGTGTTAAAAGACCTTTATCAAAATGTAAGACACCCGTGATCATCTGATTTCAGAGCACCACACATGGTCAGCCCTATGCCATGCTATTATATTGATAGAAACATATAAAAATCATACACGTGCCTTGAAATTGGAGTGGACTCTGTTGTTGTAAAATACTCCCAAGGGGGTATGTTCAGCCTGTCCCTCTGGATATTGCCCCTCGGACTGTCCAGTGGGAACCCGGTGGAAGAGGTACCATATCCCAACATCCTAAAAGACAAAGGGAGGTCCAAGAAATGGGACAGTACAATTAATGATACAGGTTATCCTGGGGACTTAGGTTTCCCACTATCCTGGCCAGATTTCTAACCTGAGCCTGCCAAAGGTTTGAGTCCCAGGGGACACACACCAGCCCATACTCTTACACCTCGCTACTTATCCTTTGGCATGCACGGTGGGTCCCCGGGGCACATACACATGGGTTTCAAAAATGCATATATTGTGAGTGAAATTCAGGTGGTTTATTAGAAAACATAGCCTCCTCTATACCGGCACATTAAACAGAAACATGATTTGGGTAAACATTGGAGATAATAACAAGTAGAGAGTATATATACAAATATAAAGTTTTATTGGGCATTTAACTATTAACTACTAATAAAAATCAACATTTACTAAGAGACATCACACACCATTTCCAGCTACAGTTGTGGGAGAAATCAGCGTGAGAACTGTAGGCAAATACTTGTTCTTAACAGAGACAAAGGTTGCAGAAATACATATCCAAATTTTACGTTGGCTTACTAAAAATTCATTGCCTTCACACTAATGACATCAGTAAGAGTAGAATACATGGGAACTGGAGGCAAAGCGTAGCTCTTGCCATTAAATGATTTTACCTGAGCACCAGCTGCTGCATTCTCTATTAAGTTGTTGTTTGGATTTGCAATCCAGAATGTGCTGACAGCCCTGAAAAATCAAAATCAAAATGATCCTAAGCAGTTACCAAACAGGAAGGGATACATTTTCATAGCACTGCACTGGAATTGAGCCACAACTCTCCTATTGACTTTAAAACTCCACACAACCTTTTAATGATACTCTTTAAGGAAAAAAAACCATCTAGTAATGTCAGACATGTACATTTATGGAGCCACATGTTGAACCTATTGTAAATTATATGAGAGCGTTAACACAAAATCCATACTCTAACCCAATGTCTTTTTTTTTTCTTTGAAAAATGTCTGAAAAGTGAACTTCTGGTTTGTTTTTTGGAACTTCAGGGGCAATGGCAGGAGGCAGGGATTCTCTATGGGTTTATGAAGCTTCTACAGGGAAAACAAAAGAAATGTCCTTGCAAGCTGCAAATGGCTCATTAAGCAGGAGATTAAGGAGATATTATTTTGACGTTTGTTCAAATAAGGAGTTTTTGCTTCAGAGGGAAGATCAGTAGTGGCACAAACAGAAGCCAGATATAGCTATGAAAACACTGTCATCTGTTGTCTTACTTCATTTGATAACATCTTTTGCAGTAATAAAGACCACATGTAAAACCACTGTAAACCTTTTCTCATGATCGTACCAATTAATTTGATCATTCTAAGCAGAAAATCTCAATCATTTTTTATCCACCTTAACTATTACGTAATCAAGAATCCACACTCCTTTGGATTAACAGAACCACTAAATAGGTGCAAAATAAATCTGTATTAACCATACAAGCAACTGCAGCATTTCAGCAACAATAATTTTAATTAATTCAGTTGGATTATTTATGCCAATAAAAATAAGTAGAGTTTGGCCACTGCATCGTCTTCCAGAAAACATGAAAATACAAACTGCCTTGGCTAAACTGTGTTCTTGCTTGCAAGCACTAGCCCAACCAACACCTGGGTCCCTGAGTGCCCATGTTACAGCTCATCAGTCTCCAAAATAGAAGCTAACTTTCTCAGCTATATCGGGATATTGTTTATTGTTAAATGATGCTCACTGTGGTTTATGCTAATCTCTGCATTCTCACTAAATCTCCTGATGCACTCTAGATAGCCATGCACTCATGTACTATTGACCAATTTACTCTAGATGCTCCAGCTCCAATTCAGCCCTGGTGAAAAAAGGCAAAAACTCCCTTTGTAGTAAGCGGTATTTTTGCCAGCCCATACCAGGGCTGAAGCAACTTGCATTTATCAGACAGTTTTCATGGAGCCTTCAACATCCTACTTAAAAAGAATTGAAAGGGGTTCAGAAATGAGCAAAGTGCTCTAACGTATTTATGATTGTTAGGAAACAGCGACAGGAATAACCAGCAGCAAACATTCCTTGCTTAGGAACCATGCAAGTGTTAACAGATATCTTCACAAGCAAAACATGGACAAGTAGCTAAATTATTTTAAAATGAGAAATGATAGAAAAAGCTACAAGTTTTCATTTAATATCAAATAGCATCTTTCAAAAGTTTCACCACAGCATTCTTTGGGACCCAGCCATAAAGCACAACGTAAGCACAAAACCTGACTACAGCTCCCGGAGCACTTACATGCAGTCGGTGCTCGGCACAGGAACATAATTCCCATAGACATGGCTGCGGATAGCAAGGCACATAGCCTCGTTGCGATCCGAAGGCAAGATCGTCCCCGACCTTGTGAGGAGGCCCAAGTTGTGATAAAAAGTATTGCGTTGCTCCGTCCCATCTTCAAGGAAGAAACAGTGCCCCAGAGTGTCATAGCCAATGGTGTCTTTTACCTGGAAAAAAAGTATGCAGGCCATAGATCGCAATGCTAACAGTAATAGGAACTATAACTGATGTGCTTTGCTTATCAATAAATTCCTGAAACACTCACGGAATGGTTTTGCCGCCCCTCCGCACAGCAAGCAGTGCCTCCATAGGCATCAGTCCTGGAGCTAACTTGAACTACATGCAGTTTGCATAACTGTGGACTGATCTTCTTATACAGTCAAACTGCTATTAAAATTACTCTGAGGAAGATCGCATGCATAATTGAAGGAAAATTGCAAAATACTGGATTTAAAACTGCCCTCAGCTCTAAGAGAGAATATTTGATTCAGTGTCATGGAGTAAATATCTGCGTAAAGGTAAGTGTGTGTTGCGTGATAAACCAACAAGTTAGGATGGTTAATCCAGAAATTTTCATGACTGCAACACTTCCCAAATAAAATGAGAAATTCTTTAAAATGCACCATGTGAAGTAATTTATATTAACGAGGTTTCTGTTCTTTCTCCTCCACTCTTAGAAGGTGCAGGGCCCCTTCGTTCCTGTAATGATCAGCTTGGGCAGAGATGGTATTTTACTGTTTCAGTCTATTTAATATTAATTGACATGCACAGGGATATTGCATTAAACCCTAATTTGACTGAGAGGACTTAGCAAAAGCCTCCTTTGATGTACAGCCTTATGAAGATAAATTCAGAAATCCTTCTTTTAAATGTAAATACAAAATCAGGCTAGTTAAAATACCAGCTATTTGTTACTACATCTTACTGAAACCTTAACTTTTTGTACTCAAATGATCCCTGTCAGCATATTTATTCACTCTTCAGGCATACGAAATTCCTGTTGACGTCAGTTATGTCCGTGTAAGACTGCAAGATTAACTAATATTAACCTACTTGGTTATTTCTGTATACAGAGGGACACTTGAACTAAATCCATTTCAGATTCGTATCCTGTGATTTCCCCGTAATGGGCTGCAACTGTACATAACATCTGGAGTCACAAGCAGGATAGTCCCCATAGGTATATCTCTACTGGATTTCATTGTTTTCTTGGCAGTCACCCCTCAAACTTGTCATCTGCTGTTCTTGTTTCTGCCTCAATGAGGTGTTCAAGAGAGAGTTAAAAATAAGGCACAACACAACTAGGTACCCAACTCCTAACTGATACAGTTTTGGAAATCCACCGAGACCCTGCACACAGGTACAGTAGCTTGGAGTGAGCTACAAGGGGATTAACGGAGAACCTACACGCAGCAAGACTGAACGTGTCCCTACCAGCTGAGTCTTGGAAATACAGACAGGAAATGGATTTAGATAAAAATGCAAGTGTCCTTGCCAGTCTGCTAAGAACTGTAAGCCTGGCTACTTCTACCCTTCCAAATGATGGGCAGAAGCTGTGCTAAGGAGGCCACGGAAGACTATTTTTGGAAAGAAACTGTAACGACAAACTGCTCACTGTTTTAAACAGCTTTTCAATTGTAGAGCTTCATTCGTCTGAATTTAGCTGAAGTTTGGCTAATCTCTGCTTCAGACAGCTGCATTAAAAACCAGCCTTGTATCCAAAACCAGATTTTAGCTTTAATTAATATGATTCGTCACAGCTTCAGAATCGCATGGCAGCCCTGAAAACTTACATACACGAAACTACATTGAACACTCTCCTAACCGGGAATAACATGATTTAAAGATCACTTACACTTGTACTGAAAGAAAAGGCTCCATGCCGTTAGATCAAACCCCCAGTAACTGATCAATTCTGGCATATCACAGATAGAAACTACAAGCTTGGAAACGAGCCCACCTGCAGCACTGTGACAGCAGCATATTACTGGATGTGCCAGCATGAAACACCGTCCACAGCACAGGCTACAGCCCCGCTGGTGTGTCCAACACCAGATGATTAAGATGCCTCTAAATGCTGAATTATATATAGTTCAGCAACACAATATAAGTGACCTTTATGCACACGAAAGACTACAGTAGTCTGTGTATGCCTGACGTGTGCCAGGGCAGCGAGAGGCAGGTCGCAGCCTGCTTCCCAGCCACAGTGAGTAACCCAAGCTGCTTGCGCACAAGCCTGGCACACGGGAGCAGCAGATGGGAGAAGGACCTTACAGAAAGCACTGCACAACCGGTACACAGCTAAGTCCAAACCACAGCACTCCGGCAACGTACTTCTAAAGTTACATCCTCTAAACTGTCAAGACGGGAGGAGGAAAAACCCACTTATCTGGTTTATTCTGCCTCAAGGGTTGAAGTTTCATTATCTGATGCTGAAATGGGTACCCACCTATGTTATTTAACTGCATTGCTCTGATACACGTGCTCTTCTCTCGAACTGCAAATTATTTTAATTTATTTTAAAGCAGGGCTTTTTATTACCTTTTAATTACTCTTTATCTTAGTGACTGTATTGAAACCACATGATTCTTCCACAGAATCACATACTTAACCTTCGCTGTAAAATCTATTCACTGATTCATGGACTCAAAGCCCTCGGCAGTCACACGGGAGGGGGCTGGATCTCACGCTTGGGTTCTTGATTTCACAACTATAGCATCCCACACATCCAGATAAACCCTTTACAACTTCACTTCTGATAAAGAGCAAGACCACGCACCATTCTTCTCAGGACCAATATTAGCATAAGGCTTCATTTTTTCATCCCAGGCAGGTTCCTTCAGTTCCAGAGGTTTAATACCAACAGGAGGAGAAATTGAGTTAAACTACAACCACACATACTGGGCAAGTCTCCTGCCACCTAAAGGTTCTGTACACAAAAGCAGGCTCTACAGCCACAGCAAATCACATGTATGAGAAGGCAATCAATAATTTTGAGTGATCTGGACAACACAAATCCAGTTTAGGGTACATGAAAAGTGCTCCTAGGTGTACAAGTCCAGCATTGCATTTTTGTGAATACAACATTTCGGGGGGGACCCTTTCACTGGAGGGTCCCACCAGAGTGCATCTATGTCATGTCTTACACAGCTTTATGTCCAGGGTAGAGAAAAAGTTGTCAGGAAAAACACGGGAGGTCACAGATAGTTCAGGGAGTGTCTCTGCCTGAGCATACACCAGGTGAATGAGGAAATGCCCACGGACACCAAAACACCGCTCAGGGTTCTGCGGAGCACACAGCAACCGGACCTGTTGGGACTAGCGCGGGAGTCTGCCTTTGCCAGCTGGGACACGTATGGCTTTTTTGTGTTTTTTTTTTTTAAGTTCCTCTCCACAATGCCCTTGTGAGGATCTAGGTCAAAGCCAAGTTCCTGAGGGCTTTTCTGGCACTGAAGCAGCCGTTTGGGTCTGTCCCTCTCATATTTCATTCCCTTTGTCATGTGAATATTTTTGGATATATTTCACATTGCCCTGACTTGAACAACTGCTGTCTTTTCTATCTATCTCCTTTGCAAATTAAAGGTCCGTTGCTTCAGTCGCGTCCATTTAAAGCCCATTGTTTTAATTTTAAATGAAAGTTCCTATTATCACAAACTGTCCAGAATAACCATGGCAAAGGTTTTACTATATCTGATCACACCTTTAATAATATTAATTGGGCAATACTAAGAATCTGAAATTCATTTCAAAGAGCTGTCCTAACCTGAACACCAGTCAAATGAAGTTGACAAGTTGGGACATTTCTTGGGGAAAAGATGCCTTGTTTCAATATTCTGATTTCTCTTTACATCACAAATGGCTCTTACACTTTGGCAGTGCCTAAGCAAAGAAATGAACTTGGTACTAAAAAAATATGTCTCCTACCAGAAGGCCATGAGTTCCATGTATGGCAACACACCTAGAGAAGCAGTGGTGGATAGCCAGGTTATCGAGGTACGTTGGGCGTTCGTATCCTCCTCTCTCATCCACATCCTCAGCCAAGTGAAAATGCACAGGATAACTGCCCAGGATTTGCTGCCCCATGTTTTTTAATTCCACTCCTGACATGTGAACAGAGCTAAAATTTCTTAGGATCTGTTGAGGCAAACGTAGATCCAAGTAAAGCATTACGACATAAACATGCGCAAAAAGAAAAACACTTTTTTTTCCCTCTCGTTAGGCAAGACACTCGCAGAGTAAAACAGGGCCTGATCCCAGAAGGAGGTGTCAGCTCCCTGCTCTGACTCAGAGCAGCACAGCACCCGCAGAGCAGTGTGCCAGCGGCTGCACACCTACGGGCACAGGGCTGCCAAGGAACTGCTGCCAAACAGTGTGTGCAGTATTTAGCAATAGCCGCGTGTGATACAGCTACAGACAAGGTACCTCTGCCAGCCGCAGGAAGTACCCCCTTGAGGTACCTTTGGCATTTACCACCAGGGTCTATGTCCCGGCAACTTTATCTCTGTCATGTGATTTTAGGCAAGACCTGCACAGCTCCCCAGTTTCCACCAACTGGCGGTGGAGTAATTTTACACAAAGTCCCTGCAACAGCAAAACGTTGCACCTCCACCAAAACCACATGGGACAACCAAGAGAAGGCAAAGCACAACAGGGCGAGACCTAGCACTTCTCTGAGCCATGAAAGGAGCAGGCTTGCTCTGCAAGAAGCACAATTTCTTCAGTGACATCTCATGAACTATGTAACTTCACATTGACCCTGCTGACAGTGATGCCGCTAAAGAATCCCCTCTAGCCCGGAGAAGGGTACATTTTTGCATACACGGTGAAGAAAATAGCACAGACTCATTGCAAGTCTAGTTTTGCAAAACAGGCCAACAAACTTTTCCCTTCTTCACAGACAAGTATACTTTTTCCCCAGACACAATTCTAGTTGCTTGTTTACAGTCCAGGACAGGAACCATCTGAAACCACCTACAGGCATATGCATTAAAAATTACTCACTTTAATATGTCCTCCGAATGTATCAAAGGAGAAAAACTGGCACTGATTTTGTCCATAACAGGAGTCTTCCATTTCTCCTTGAATAAGTATATTTCTAGTCAGAAGACCAACCTCTGCCCTCATATCAATGCCATCTATGACTTCTCCAATGTGAAGATACAGTGGGCTGCCTGTGAAAATCAGAAACCTTTTTATTCAGGGTGAGCACGGCATCTTCCTTATCGCATTGTTCTCGGCAAGTGCACACCTTTCATTTAAGCAATCACTGAGTCTGGAGACGTGCCCAGTTGTTAGTATCTGAGCCCAGAGGAGATCAGCACTTCCCCTGGCTTCTACAAAGGACTGCTGGCTCTGGTCAGACTTTCAAGTCCCAACATAATATTGGGGCCTTCAGCTCTCATACGTGTCCATATGTTTATGGAACAAAAACTAGCTAAAAAGACAAGGAAATGTAGAATGTAAAAGACAAGACAACGTAAATGTTTACCACGCACGGGTAGCTTGATAAAAATATTTCGTACCGTCAATTTTCACTTGATTACTTTTACATTCAGGGCAAGGAAGGAGATTAAACTCTTCAGCCTGATGCATAGAATAATCTGTACTGGCAACGACGATCCGGTCGCCAGGTAACCAGCTTGTAACCTCATCCACCAAGTGAAGAATTATTCCTTTGGACACTTCCACTTTAAATCCATTATGAGGCACCCCTGAAAAATGAAGCAATCCGTTATTTTCACAGTTGCACACGACAGAGTCATGCAATTAGCCAAAGAGCCGATCAGTCTAATTTTTATCTGGATAACTCTGTGTGTGATAGAAGTGCTCCAGCCGTTAAGTACGTCAGTGTCGTCTCTCTGTAGGCAGCTAAAACGTTACTTTGTGAGAGCGCTGCGGTTAGCGTGGTCACCGTCCACGCGAGCAAAAGGCTACGGTTTTATTATCATTGCGCTGTCAGATTGCCAGCGGCCACAAAAAGTGGAGCAAAGCGACAGAAGGCAAGCAATCGTCAGGGAAGACCAAACCTTTTATCCACCCGCTGAAAGCAGTAACAGTAAAACGGGTGCCATCGTAGGTGAGGAAGTCTCTCTGGGCTACGGCTAACCCCGTCGTTCCATTCCCGTGGTACTCCCGCTTATCCTCCGCGGTGGAAAGCCGGTCCCCTCCGAGGACCCCCACCAGCGCCCAGGGCTGCCTGCAGGAGACCGCGAGGGAGCAAATCGGGCGACAGCCCGAGCCCTCCAGCCCCCAAAGAGCCGGGGCAAGAGGGGAGGGCGCAGCGCGGCGGGCCTCCCCTCCGCTCCGCTCC